CACCTCAAAGTTTTAGTTCCAACTAATCATGTTCAATGTTTTCTTTTTTCAAATCTAAAAAAAACCAAGAATATATTCCCAAAACATCCTTAAAACACTAGCTTTTTTATTTCCCTGTAGAGCTGCAACAATTTATCGATTGGCTGTTAAATTAGTCGGCAACTATTTTGATAACCAAGAAAAATAATCTCAATGCTCTGACTGCAGCTTCTTAAATGTGAATATTTTCTGGTTTTCTTTCGTCCACTATGACAGTAAACTAAATATCTTTGGGTTTTGAACAACACAAGACATTTGAAGTGACAGATTTTCTGACATTTCGGTCCATTAATTGAGAAAATAATTGACACATTAATCAACAATTAAAAAAAGGTTGCAGCCCTGTTTGTAAAAAACTGCTTAACCAGTGTGTAAATGAGTTCAGCTGGTTATTTTGGTGTATGTTTTCATGTGCGCAGTGAGGCCCATATAGCGAACACTGCAGCCTGTTTAAGCCATTTATATAACTGCATAATCCTGTTTACAGGCTCCAAAATAAAATCGTCTTTTGATTCTTGAGAGAGTATTGTTTTTTTCTGGAGACCCCAAAGCTCCCAGAAAAGTAGATTATTAAGAATTTTCCATTGATCTAAAACAACAAAGTCTGCTTTTCATCCATAAGATTGCATTTTATTACGCATTTTTTAAAAAGTGTACTAGATGAGATGTTTATAGGAAAATGAAAGAGGAAAATGTCAGCAACATAAAAGAGGCTTATGTGATTTGGGGGGAGGTTTATGTCTGCTCTTCTTGCACCTGCATGAAAATAAAGCCCAGACTACTTAATTGTAGAGGTGGGGGGGAGGGGTCAAGACCATCAAGATTTGAATGAGATGCTCCATGAATACACTTACGCATGCAGTGAATTTATTATGTGAGACGACTTGCTGATTGGACTCCCTGACGGAGGCCTGTATTAGTGAGGCTGAGCTGTAATGACAAGCTGTCGCAGCTGATATCTGCTGTGCAGTCGCGTCATGTGTGTCGCCGTGCAGCGCCGCAAAGACCACGGTAATACCTGTAATCAACAGACTGTAATTGCACCGGCTGCTTGGCAGGAGACAGACACGAAGCAAGATTTGAATGGATGATTTGGCCCGTTGACACAGTTCCATGTGTGGCACCGAGTCACAGATGCAACTGTTGTGAAGCATAACTACGTCTGAGCGTTCGATTTCAGACGCTTCAGCCGCACTGTGAGAAAATAATCGAGTGGAAACAGTTCAAATCTGGCAGCAAGAAAAAAATATGTTAAAGAAACTGTAACTATGAACAAATATCTGTAAAATAATGGGATTTTTAAATGATATAAATACATTAAACCTGTGATTTTATGGTCACATACTGTAAAAGAACAAATTATTTGTGAAACTAGGATTTTAGATGCTGACATTATTTACAGTTTTATTTTCATGGTATAATTAACATGCAAACTAATACTCATTTCTACAAAACAGGAGCAATCTACAAATAAAGGTTGAAAAAAATATTAGTAATTCATGGATAGCACCAGTCAAACATTTGGACACACCCTCTCATTTAGTGGTTTTTATTTATTTTAATTATTTTCTACCTTGTAGAATAATAATACTGAAGACATCAAAACTCTGAAAGAACACATATGGAGTTATGTAGTAAACAAGAAAGTGTTAAATAAACCAGAATATGTTTTATACCGTAGATTCAAAACCATCCAGGAGACGACCTCATGAATGCCAAGAGTGTGCAAAACTGTCATCAAAGCAAAAGGAGGCTACTTTAAAGAATCTTCACACAAAAAAAAAACTTGTACACTTGCTTGAGGTGATTTTTGCCTTCATAAAAGTTATTGGGCTCTACAGGAGATGGAAACCTTATCTCTGACATGACTGAGCTGTTTCCACTCCCCGGACAGCTTGAAACATGGTCGATGCCAGCTGACATAAAAGAATAATTACACATTTCCTGGTTGAAAACATTTTTTTCTTCTTCAAACTTCTTTCTGTTTTTCTCTGGGAGATGGTGAAAGTTTTGTTTGTGTCTTTTTCTTCTTCAAATTTTTTTAGCGGTTGGCAAAAAGCTGGTTTTGCTTCCAGCTTCTTCTACTTTATTACAGCCGTGTGGCCTGTAGAGCCTCCGACACCTCCGAGTTTATTCATTCATTTATTTTTTGACCATTTAAAAGCTGGCTTCAATATGGAAACACGGCTTGTGAGATCAGGCCAAGCAGACACACTTCTGTACCACTGTGTCTGAGTTCAGGCATCATATCAGTGAGACAACACTGCCACCATCAGGACAAACTGAAGTTTACTACGTTACCTTCTAAAATCATGTTGAATGAAGTTTTCAGGCCATTTACATGCACAAAAAAGCAGCTTTATAACACACTAAGGAAAAAACAGCAGAATGTGGGCTCTTTATAATGATCAGGTTTTGTCTTTTTATCACTTTTAATGTCATCAAACAAACAAACAAATCCCACTACATGTTCTAATCCTGTTATTTTACCAGGTTCTCCTCAGACTAGAGTTCATTCTGGTGACTGACAGGAAAATCCTGCTGCTCACCACGACTCCTAATGACTTTATTTTTCTTTTCTGCTGCTCACAAAGAAGCTGTCAGCACATCTGTCATGGCCACAGCTGGACCTCATCTGTCACAAATATTGACAGGCATCCTGTATGATGGAGAAAATGGAGCGTAATGACAGCTTGTTTTAGTCCGCTGGAGAGACATGAGCACAAAATATCTTTTTACACCTTGAATTTCTTGGAAAGCACCAAAAGTCACAGGCCGACCTGTTTCTTAATACCATGTTTACCAGCTGACCCTGGATGAAACAGAGTTGGTTTTCTCTGAGTATCAGATTGTAGGTTTGTTTTATTATCATTTTTTTGTGAATTCTGAGCATTGGCTGCTGTTTCCACAGAAAAGCAACTCAGAAGCAAATTCTAAATGCTTTCTTATTGCAGCTGTTAACAAAGTGCAGAACACACTCCTGCAAATTCACCCGAAATTTATCCAGAATTCCAAAGTGAGTTGAACTGCAGAGTTAAGCTGCAGAATGTATTAACGCATTAAACATGTATTAATGTACTAAACATGTATTAATTTATTAAACATGTATTCATGTATTAATCCATTGTGCAGCATTACACTGCTCCTAGTGCTCCTACGATACTTGTATGTTCCCATGTCAACAATCATCTGTGATGGGCACTGAAGCTCGAAAACTGTTATAACAGTGTCTGCTAGCTTGAACTTTCAAGGCACAAATTTATGTTGTACAACTGCGTGAATGTTAAAGAACACAACAAGCTTACTCCTGGTGTTCCTCACCTGGACTTTGGTCATTAGGGCTGCAGCTCTTCTTCTCCTGGTGGCAGTGTGACTGTAACAATGACACTCTGCACAACTAGTCCTGGAACTTACTGATTACACCACACATCCTGCACTGATGCTGAAACGACATAAATCTAAGTGAATTCAGGCAGCTGTCAGATATTTCCTACCACACAGTCCTGCTGGTTGAGCGATAGGAGCAGATCACAGCAGCCTGAACAAACTGATTTAAACAGATAAACCTTCACCTTGGCCCATGTCTTCACCATAACACTTCCACCTGTTGCCTCCTTGCACACTGAATGATTATTATTAGTGACAGAAGGCGATAAAAGGGCTTCAAACCGGTGCTTCATCCCAACTTTGTTCAATTTCTCTCAGTGTAGTCGTCATGTAGGATTAATGAGCGGTTGGAACAAGCTCATACTGTCAGTTTAAAGCTACTTAAAGGGAGACAAAAAAGGTTAAGCTGGAAAGACGGCGTTGAGAATAATCCTGGTTTAAAACCTCAAATGGTTTTAGAATGAA